CCTTCCATGCCAATGGCTGCTATGTGCATATCCTCAAACACACACACACATATATATATATATATAATATAAATTTAATAATTTAAAAATATGGTCCCCATTGCTACACAGGAATTACCATGTTTCAAAAACAAACTGAAAACTAAATTTAATTTTAGAATTAAATTAAAATCCTTAGTACGGTTTCATTTTCAAGCGATTTTTGGAATAACTTATTTTGAAATTTACCGAGTTTATAGGCACATACATTCTTGATATTAGTTACTAAGGTTACAGGGAAATTCAATCATTTTGACAAGCAGTGGCAGGGTATTTGTTTTCACTGACAACCTGTGTATCAAAATACGAGTTACTTTCCAAATGAGGTTAGGGTAGGGTAGGGGGTGCCTGTTCAACAAATGACACCTGTTTTTCGCACTTTGTCTGGTTTTTTTCATCGATGAAAAGTTTTACGGCACTTGAATTTTGCAGTTAAATTTATAATTGTATGCACAAAGATTTTTTTCAAAAGGGTCATTTGAATATGAGTACATCATATTAAAATACAGTTTTAAATTATTATTTCTAATTACTAATAGACTATACTTATTTTAAAACAAATATATTATTAGTATTACGTTATTTAAAAATTATTCTTCAAAGATCAAATAAATATGTATGTATCATTTTTCAATTATTTTATTATTTAATGAAAATCTTTGACAATATCTGCAAAAAATAGCTATTTCTTTAAGTAAATTTTTATTTTTGATAAACTTAATGTATAATTTCTCATGTATGCACAAAGGACATGGGTCATTTAATGACCTACAAACTCTAGCTTTTCTTATTAATTTCCATTTTACAGTAGGTGTATTATTGGTTTCCTTTAGGTGCCAGAAATATTTAGATACGGATGTCTGATTCCGGTATTTACTTATTTTAAAAGAACTTTGATGTTAGTTCCAACATCTTTTGAATTCATATCTTGTACATCCAATGTAGACTTACTTTGTCTGGTTCCTCAATAGATGAGATATTTCATTGGTACACTAATGATTCAGTGCACCATTTATTATTAACAGGGCAGTTTTGAAGATTTCTGCAGTTACATAATTTTTCTTTATCTTCATTTCTTTTTATTATACTATCTAAATTTTTTGATTTTGGTCTAGGTGTTTACTCAAGATATTAGCATTATGTTTCTTAATAATCATTTCTAAGTTTTCAGTACAACTGTAACTTAATTTTAGGGTATTTTTATTAAAAATTGTACTAAGTTTACTATCTCTAGGAAAATGTTTAACAATTAATGCAAGAAATTTTTGTCCTAATTTGTTTTTTACCATTTGGTTGTATGGGGATGTATACCAAATGATTTTTCTACTGTTTTTTGTATGGTTTCCACTTTCAGATTTTATATAATTGAGTTTTGGCCTTTGTAGCCATTATTCTTCAGAGTTATATTATAGAAATTACTATGTTCATAGAAAATTCTCATTTGCTGAATTTGTACTTATTCTCTTTTCTATAATTAAACATATACCTTTATCTATTAAAAAGAGAATAAGTACAAATTCAGCAAATGAGAAAAAAAATTAGGACAAAAATAAGGCAAAAGTCAGGAGTTCTCCATAGCAGCAAGTCACATGGGGATTGTTGAAGCGATCATCTCCTCTTGGTGTAATGGAAGCACATCTGCTACTGACAATTCCCCTCTAATCTAACGTTTTTATGGACCCTCATCCAACATCGGTGTAGGGTCTAACGTGATCTGGTGTCCCAGAATTTTCCAAATATCCAATCGGACCTCTCTGATGATAAGTGTCCTGGGAAGCAAATTACATGTCCAAATTTGAGAAATCCCTCCTCCGGAGAGTAATGGTAGCAGGGCATCAACCTGCCCCACTTACTCCTTCTTTCTCTTATTTGTACCTTATATCAACACCCCTCAATGGGTATAGTCTGTTTTCTCCCACTATCTTGTTCACTAATTGGGGTCCCCTCGACTGGGTGCCATGACTAGCACATGTTTGTTAATTAAAATTATCTGTCTCAACATCATCAGACACATCCTTTGTCATAAAAAGTCTTTTTTTTGATATTTTCCAGATTTCTCATCTTGGATAATTACAATTCCTTCCTTGTCTTTGGTGAAGGCATGACCAAACTGATATCTTACCAATTGACCGAATTCTTCATCATTTGGATTCTGCATTGTACCAATGGAGGCACAGCGGAGTAATGGACAGCAGCTCGGATTACGGAACCGGAGAGCCAAGTTCGAATTTTAGTCAAATCCATTACATTCACTTATGTGCTAATACCCTTGGGAGAGGTATGAATCCTCTTCTCTTCCCAGCTATGGGTAAATAGCAAGACGGACTAGGTTCTATAGACTTGGATGGCAACTGGTCTACCACAGAAAGAAATGGCAACCTACTGCAGGGAAAAAATTTGCCTCATCAGTCATGTATCAAAAGATACATGATCGCCTACGCGTGTATCATGCATGGTGATTGACTGATTGTATCCGAGATCCTATTTCTTTAGCAATACACACACCCTTATAAACAAGTGACATAGAATCATTTCTTTACTCTCTTCTACTTGTACCCATAAAATCATTATCTGTGACTAGCTTGGTGGTCTTTGTCCAAAACTGCCAGTCCTGGTCAGTTTGCAGTTGTCACTGCACTCCCTCGACATCATCCTATTGGCCTCTCTTTAACCAGATGCCCAAGTGGATTTCAGCATTACCTCTAGTGAGGCCCTTTATTCATGAAATGAGGGAAAAAAATAAATAAATAAAAGGATATTTTCTTTTGTCTTCGGTATGTCCATCAATCTATCTGCTACCATTTTTACTTTTGAGTTCACTTTTGATTTAATTTAAGCCTTTTTTCTCTCAAATTATTAGCATTCTTACAGTGACACACACACAATATATATATATATATATATATATATATTCCTTAACAGTACCACAAAGCAATTGTCGGGTGCTGATTGCTGACAATTGCATTGTGCATCAAACTCAGTATTGAAGAAGAAAAAAAGAAATGTACATTTATTATTAATATAAATTATAGCACCATTATACATCGAGCCCTATATTATTAGTACCAGCACTCAATGTGCAATATTTTATGCATATATATCAGTCAGTTACGTGTCATGCGTGATACACACTTAGGCGATCATGTATCTTTCAATACATGACTGATGTGGCAGATTTTTTTCCCAACAGTAGCTTGCCATTTCTTTCTGCAGTAGACCAGTTGCAATCAAAGGCTACAGAACCTGGTCTGTCCTGCTATTTACCCAGAGCTGGTGGGAGAAGAATTATTTCATACCTTTCCCAAGGGTATTAGCACGTAAGTACTTGTTAAAGTTCCTTGTTTGATTAGAATTTAAACTCAGCTATATATATATATATATATATATATATATATATATATATATACCCAATATGCTTTAACCAACTCAGCTATGAAGAGTGTTGGGATTAGGCAAGGCTCTATTTTGTTTTAAGAACACTTTACTTGTTCAGATTTTTTAAAGTACATAACGGCTCAATTTTGTATCCAAAGCATCATATTTGAGTAGACACTGTTAATATTAAACAGTATTTGATCTACGCTCCTGAACATTCAAGAAATCTTAAAGAAAAAGTGCCCTCTGACAGGATTCAAACCTGTGTCCACCTTTGCAGTAGAAACTGTCATTAGATCTGAGTAGATAATGTAATGATAAAAATGAAAAAAAAATTCCATCAAAAAACCTTTTCAATTACCAGCTATTAGTCTGATATATAGATTTGTATCATAGATATTTATCTATGACCAGCTGAAAGTTTTGCGATGTTAACTCTCCTCAAAATCAGATAACAATGTACATAATGTGGAGCCCTAACATCACAAAACTTTTAGTTCGTCAGAGATAAGTGTCATGAGCATTTTATTTATTGATAATAATTATTGCTCTAGAGATCTACTGATTCTACTATTTAAATTGCCCATTTTCACAAAAAAAAAAAAAAAAAAACAGCAGCTAACTACATGATGATTGCATGAAAACACATGAAACATTTAGTTGTGATAAGCCATCATTCACCAGAAAGTGAATATATATATATATATATATATATACATACATACACACACACACAGGGTGAAAATAAATGAACGCAAGTTTTAAAACCATTATAATGCAAAGAAAGCAATAATGAAAACAGCAACACATATCTAGAAACAAATGGACATGAAATGGGGTTTATGAAATTACAAGAAATTTTCAATTGTTCCTCCATTTTGTTGTATAACCAAGGTTGTTCGTTCAATTAAATTATTGGCACACTATCCATAACTTGAGGTGTGTGCTCAGTTTCTAAGGAATATCTCTCACTTGAAGGAATATCATGCAATATCTTTGTGGTTTCAAACTTTTCTATCAGACGAGTAATTGTTGATATAACAAACAGATCTTATTTTAAACTGTTCCTTGTTTTATAAGCTCTCATCATTGCTGCTGCACTTTCTTCATGAACCTAATATCTCTTCACAAGCTCCAGTCAACAGTCTAAATGAAGCTTGGACAATTTAAAAAAAAAAAAAAAAAAAAAACATTAAAAGCTTGCACACATTTATTTTCACCCTGTGTATATTCACTATTTCTTTATATAACATTCATTGTTTATTGCATATGGCTAATTGTAGTCAGAAAACAAAAATTCTACTTTAAACCCTTTTAATCTTTTCTTTAAGTGATTGCTTACTTGACTCAAGAAACAAAAAAAGAATTTTAAGTGAGGCTAGAATTATACATTTTTTAATAATTTTTTCTAACACAATGAGTATAAATCAAATGTGTTATAAGAAAGTGTTGATTAAAAATAGACTAAAAAAATGTTATGTAAAAATAATTAAAAAAAAAAAAAAAAAAAAAAAAAAAAAAAAAATAATGCAAAAGTAATGTTAATTTTACTTTGCATAAACTGGTTATGTCTAGTCAAAAATTACCTTTGTGCTGTTCCTAAGATCGTCATAGGATTTGCTTGGTTCTGAATAGGAAAATAAAAATTTAAATTATGAGTCAATTGTACATTTTAAGGTTTGTTCTTGGAAATGTTTAGATTGATTTCAACTCAATTCTTATGTACCAAATATAAATGGAGACAGGATTAAATTATTTCCTTCAATTCTTAAGTATGCTGCTTATTTGGTACAGCACACTTATTTATTTCCAAGACACTCCTGGAAATATTATCTGAACCAGCATGCTTATTAAAATTACATAAAATTTCCTGGGGAACATTTATTTAAACTGTCACACTATATATATATATATATATATATATATATATATATATATATATATATATATATATATATATATATATATATATATAAAAAGGCTTAAACACTAATATTCCATGGTCATAATTTTTTTTCCCTTGGAATCATAAATACGACCCAATCGTCAGAACTACAAATTCAGAAAGGAAACAGAAAAAACAACACCAGGAATAAAAAATAAAATTTAGTGAGTGTATGTATGAGAGTGTGGGACGAATGTTAGAGTAAATGAAAGTTATAGAGAGGGGTAACAGACGAGAGAAGAACAGGAAGGTCTAAAGATGAAAGGGGGGGGATTAAAGTTTAACAGAGAGAAGTTTTAAAGAGGGGAGTCAAAGACAGTTTAAGTGAGAGAAATATGAATGTTCTCTGATGTCTAATACATTAAAAGATGTAACCAGAAAGGATACATTTTGAGAGAGGGAGAGGAAAAGAAAAGAAACTTTTTATTTCTTTTCTCTCACGTCGTCTGATCTTTAAGATTATATCGTCTATTGTGTGTGTATGTCACCACAAAATGTATCCTGACCATGGAATATTAGTGTTTAAGCCTTTTTATTATATCCTTACTCTGTCCTGGACATTGAGTTCTACCTGGATTCTATCCTCTTGGAATTATTTTTTATACAAATATATATGTATGTATATATTTTAGATATATGATTGCATATGTATGTGTATATTTGCCACTAATATTATATATATATATATATATTTTTTTTTTCCATCAGCATGGGTGACACTAGCCTCCAGAGAGTAACATTGAATCTTCTCAGTCTAACAATATGAATTGGCATGATTATATATGTAAATTGATTCACCATGTCATCCTAGGTAATTGTTCTCACCAAAATCTATCTTACACCTTTATAAGTCAATGATTTGTCCATGTATTGAATATTGCTAATACATCTGGTTTGGTGCTTCCGCTATAGAACTAGAGATTCTTGATAAAATCCAAGGAGTCTGTGATGTTATTGGCATCTTGGCTTCAATCATTTTCACACCACTGTAACAGCTTCCCTAGGCCTTTTCTATAAATATTTTCATGGCAATTCTTCTAATAAGCTTTTCTCTTTGGTACATCTGTTGCAGATTTGAATCAATCCACAACAAAGAAAAAGATGAAAGGTTTTAAATATAAAAATATAAAATATTTTTTATTGTATTTTTACAACTAAAACAACTTTTCTCAGCATGTACAAGTATTAAAGTTCCCTGTTTGTAGCTATTTGTTAAGATGAAAAGAAATGTGATTTCTTTGTAAGTGTGAGAAAAATGTGGGAAGGGAGAAAATAAGGAGGAAAGCATGTCACGTAGCTTGGTGAGGAAAAGGGGCAAATGAGTAAGGGAATTTCCTTTAAACTGCGCTATAGTGCCATTGTCACATGTGTCTCCTTATTGGTTTTCTTAGTCTAGAAACTTAAATACTCTTCAATGGGATTACATAGCATTTTTTTTTTATTGTTGGTGGGAATGTGACCTGTTGGTTAAAAAATATTAATTTTTATTTTCAAAGGATCAATTTATTAATCAGAATGATGTGCAGATCCTCCAACTCAGAAATCATTTTTTTTTTGTCATTTGATGATTGACTGTCTTGATGTTTATTTCTGTCTTCAAACCACACATCGATTTCCTGAATTTAAGTGTGCTACTAGTTTGGTAACTAGGTCATCATTTGACTGTTGAAAATCCTAGATGTAACTGTAAGTTCTATTCTAATAGTTTTTCTTCACTCACATTCCCACTTCATTGGTTCCCATTTCTTGGTTCCCTGCCACCTACAAATTTTCAAAATTTTAAATGCAATGTCAATCATCAGCTTTTTAGAATCCTGTTCATTTATTGTCCTTTCTCTCTGATAACATTTTCTCAGTTTTCTATCAACTTGCTTGGAGTGAAATAATTATTAAAAAATTGAAAAATTTCCACCACCATGACTATCCAAGGTCACATTTATATTTGGTACAAAAGAGTAGGCATCTTTTTTTTCTTTCTTTCTTTTTTATGCAAGCAAATTGATGAGAAGTGTTCATTCAGTAAAAGATTAAATAATAGAAAAGATCAGATGATTTGTATAGCCAAATGATATATTAACCCTTTAAGTGCAAGGAAATTCCCACTGTCCATAGGGCCATAAGAACAGAAATTGCTGCCAACC